TGTGCCGGCCCCAGGCGCGCGGCGGCGCCGGCCCCACGGTACAAGGCGCTTGGGCGGCCCCAGGGTACATGCCGGCGCCGAATGCAAGGGCATCCCCGCCCCTGGCATGCCCCAGGACACGTGGCCCCGCCCCTGGGCACCCGGCGCGTGAGTAGCCCCACCCCCCGGGCACCTCTAAAGGTTGGGGACCACTGATCTAGACTGCACTCAAAAATCGAAATAAGATACGCAATTTGCAATATGCAAATTGCGTATCTTATTTTGAAATAGGCTATTTTGAAATTTGTTACATCTACACGGCATGAAAGCACTATTTCGAGACATCCTTTATTCCTCGTGGAACGAGGTTTACAGGGATGCTGAAATAGCACATCCGTTATTTCATAAATTATTTTGAAATAGCAGACGCATTCCTTAGATGCGGGGTAGCTATCCTGGGATACCTCTAATATCCCCGAAATAGCCTTGCAGTCTAGACGTACTCATAGGGTTTAGATTAATTGGAGAAAGAGCCACGCTGAACTTGAATGCACTTACTTGTACATAAGCATAATACCCTCTTCAGTGTTTTTAAAAATACACAAGCATATATAAGATGCATATAATATATTGTGGATTATAATTAAGGGCAAAACATACCTAAAGAAAAACATTACTGTACAGGGATCATATAACTCATACATCTTATTGAAGTCAGGTACTTCTGTAATATCCACAAGATAAATAACAGCAAAATTTTTTACCTGCAGGAGAACAAAATTTAAAAAAAGACAAAATTTTAAAGAGAGCAAAATACTGTAGCAAGATGTTTATTTATCCAAAATATATATGATAGATTTTAGAAAAACCATGCCTAAGTTTGGCAGTAATAACTGCAAGATGTTCATTAATAGTCACACAAATATTTATTCCCTTTTGCCATTTCTAACTGTTTTTAAACGTTTGAAAGAGAAATATATTTAACACAATAAAAGCAAAACATTAATTTTAGAGAGATAAGAAATTCATATCCAGTAGCAGAAAATGGTATGTATTAAACAAGGGCATATCTACACTTGCACCCTAATTCGAAGTAGGGATGCAAATGTAGGCATTCGAAATAGTCAATGAAGCGGGGATTTAAATATCCCACGCTTCATTAGCATGATCTCGTCAGCATGTTTCTCCGATCAACAGCTGTTTCGAAAGTGAAAGTGTGTGCCGGGATGCGTTAGTTTGAACCAAACCCTTTGGTTCCTCAGGAGTAACGTTAGTTCGAACCAAGGGGTTTGGTCTCAGCGCGTGTCCCAGCGCGCACTTTCACTTTTGAAACAGCTGTTGATTGGAGTAACGCGCCGGCGAGATCATGCTAATGAAGCGTGGGATATTTAAATCCCCGCTTCATTGACTATTTCGAATGCCTACGTTTGCATCCCTAGTTTGAACTAGGGTGCAAGGGTAGACATACCAGAAGTAAGTAAGGACAAACTCTGTTGAGTCTTCGTCTCAATTATATGCCTGACCCTAAATATTTTTAAGATAAAAGAGCTAGTAAATGCTATCATTAAGGTTGTTGAAGGATTAAAATGTATATAGTCAATTTTCAGTTTATGACTTCCTAAAACTTTCATCCATAAAGATGAAGTTTTCTATATTTTGTCAGTGTCAAAGCAGAAAATTTAAGAAAAGTTTGAACAAAGTTAGGTTAGCTATTATTGAACAGAACAGTAGGAAAAACCTCAATAATCTCAGAATTAAAAAAAAAAACCCTTCTGTTTTTCGGATAGTTATGAACAGGGCTCGACAAATCAGTGAATCTACTTGCCCATGTCAAGTAGATTTCAGTTGATCGCCCCCGTTCATCGGCGGCATGCACATGCACAATGCGGGACTGGCGCATGCGCAGTGCAGGGCTGGCAAGTAGATTTCGCCATGGTTTGTCAAGCCTTGGCTATGAAGTCCAAATGTCAAGCCAAAAAGTTTTAATTTGGCACAGAAATATTCCTCATTGAGGAGTACTTTTGAGAGTGCTGACAAAAATAGGATTTAATTTTATAGAGTTATTATGCACTGAAGATTGCACTTGGTACATGCAGAGTACATTTAGAAGAGGGTTTTACTAAATTTATGGTTAATTTCCTAATTTGCTGAATAAGCTATACTGCCAGTGCAAAATAAAGTGTAAAGCCCACAGGCATAGAGCAAATTATTAAAATCTGTAAAAAAGAACTGATATGAAGATGTAGGTCACTAAGCATACTGGACATCATTAATTCTTGTATACATGGATATTTTCAATAATATTGCACCTGTGTATCTAAGTTTCAGAAACAAAAACAAAAAAAACCCAGTTGAGAAATGTTTGTGATTATACTTGCTCACTTCTATAACACATGTGTAACAGCAAAGAGTTACGGTACTGCACACCCTTTATAATGGTTAGCTAGGAAAATTAGCACTCTAAAGTAAAACACAAGAATAACCAAAAACAAAATATGATTAAACAAATATTACATAACATTAAAAAAATCAATATGGAATTATACAATATCAGGCAAGCACTTGTTTTGTCCAGTGTAAATAGCAATTAGTCATTTTAAAAGTCTGCAAATGCATATACAATAGTAGGTACTTTAAGAATGTATCTTGATTTTTTATTTGTTTACAAAGTGACAAAGCCAATTGGTATACATCATAATCTAAATGTCTGCCAAAAACATTAAGTTTATATTTGGACACAGTATCAAACCTCAAAGTTTGTACACATTTAATAACAATAAAACTAAAATTTGGTAAAAATTTCTGTACCTTTACAAAGTCAAAATACAGTACAAGTTTTATTATCCATCATGTTGGGGGAATGCTGGTAAGTCAAATGGGGACTCAAAGGCCGCGAAGGAGAGGGAGTGCAAAATGCGAGCGCTGGTAAGGAGTCGGTATAGAAAGGGCCTTGGGGTAGGGGCTGATGCATGAAAAGAAGGGGTGCCAAGCCAAATCCAAGCAGCACTTACCAAGCAAAAAAATGGTATATCCATGTTACTCCTAGGCAGATGCCTGGCTAGGTAGCGCTGCACACTGCCCTTGCCTGTAGGCACCACCCCCACACCTCCCGCTAGCCATGATTCCCAGCCAAGGGAAGTGGCCGAGTCTGCTGTTCTTCCGCCTAGGAGTAGCAGGGACATCATACCACTTCCGGGGAGCCACACAGAGCCAGGTAAGGAGTCTGCCGGCCCTGCACTAAATGATGTAAAAAAATGGACTTTCAATTAATATCAGAAATGCTGGTTTATACAGCTTTCTGGATGGTGAAGTGCCAGCTAAAATAGCTTTTATTGTAGTTTATAATGTTTGTGGTAATCTGATGCAATTTTCACTTTATAGTGTTGCAAGCATCACAATACTTATTTCCTAAGAACAGAGTTCACATTACCCATAAAGTTACTGTATGAAAGGATCAAATTAGATAATCTTCTGAAGTAACTGATTACTTCCAAGTTGATTTTGGAGGAAACGACTTCACCAGCACAGTGAAACTAAGACAGTATTATTTTCACTTTACTGTTTCTCCTGGAAGAACTACCAGGTGATTGACACGTACAACACCAAGCACTAAGATGCAATTTTCCTTTTGCACATTTGTCAGCAAAAACCTAAAATTCTTTGACACTAAATTTAATCCTTGAATAAAATTAGCTTGTGACTAACCTTGAGATTTCATTCTCCAGTTTTAAAAATATACTTTGTTTCATGAAAGAGCATTATTGCAAAAGGAAGAATGTGTGATGAACCAAAGAAACAAACATTTCTATTTTTGAAGCACAAAAGAATATAAAAAAATATATGAAGAAATAAGTAAAATATTTTTCCTTAGAGAAATTATTTTTACTTAGTGCAAGAAATACTAAAGTAGCCACTACTGAGGGATGAGTGAAGAACCTGGGATTGAGCAAGGGTGGGCAATAATTTTAGAAAGTGGGCCACTTCATACATTTCTGAAGTGGCCCTAAGCTGCTCTGGAAAGGGGGGTGGAGGGGGCTTCAGGCAGAAGGGACACCAGGCAGGCTAGAACACTTCTATACTCCCCTACCCCTGGGCCATGATTGGCCTGGGGGCAGAGGATGTGGACAAAGTCTCCTCCCACCATGCAAGGGACGTGTGGCGCTTAAGAGTGAGCCATCAGCTGTATTCCAAGTATCATGCATCCCTTGCAGGGCAGGGGAGGAGACTTGGCCTAGGGGCAGGGGAGTGGCAGGGCATCTGTGGACTGGATCAAACCACTTACTCTGGAGGTGTAACGGGAAGGGATCACATGAGGATTACCTGTTGTGATCCATCCCTCTGGGGCATCTGGTATTGGCCATTGTCGGCAGACAGGATACTGGGCTATATGGACCTTTGGTCTGACCCAGTATGGCTGTTCTGATGCTCTCTTACCCACCCCTGGGCTAGCGGCAGATCTCACCTGAGACAAAGTGGAAATTAAGGCAGAATTTGCGGCCACTGCTTAGTGAATAAAACTAGTTCCATAACATTTCAGAATAGCAGCTTCTATCTAGAAGTCAGATGTGGTAACAAGACACTGAACAGTAACTTTAATACAGGTACTGCAAACTAGGGATGTTAAATTTCAATCAGCCAATCGAGTAGTTGACAGGAAGAGCACTTGCTATCCTGTGCCTCTGCCTTTTAAATGTAGTCCACTGCTTAGTGAATAAAACTAGTTCCATAACATTTCAGAATAGCAGCTTCTATCTAGAAGTCAGATGTGGTAACAAGACACTGAACAGTAACTTTAATACAGGTACTGCAAACTAGGGATGTTAAATTTCAATCAGCCAATCGAGTAGTTGACAGGAAGAGCACTTGCTATCCTGTGCCTCTGCCTTTTAAATGTAGTAAGAGCTGCCCATGGCTCTTACTACATTTAAAAAAGCAGAGGCTCAGCAGTAGGAACCTGATGTGAGTGGAGACTGTTTGAGTCCCAGCTTGCCCCAGATTTCCCGTTGCGCCTCTGCTTCCCCTGTCTCTCTGAGGAGACAGTGCTGGGGGGAACCCGATTTAAGCCAGCTCCCTCCAGCACCGGCTCCTACTCCCACCCCTTGCTGCTTCTGATGCAGAAACAGCAAAAGGGGGAAAGCAACTAGTCAAGTAGTGACTCGACTACCCGATAAGCCTAGGCTTATCGGGTAGGGATGTAAGCAACTAGTGACGGCCTGAAAAGCATTAGCTTATCGGATAGTTGAGTGGTCACTCAACTAGTCACTTTCTCACCCTTGCTGCCTCTATCAGAGAGATGCAGCAATGAGTGAAGGGGAACAGGAGCCAGTGCTGGGGGGGAGCCAGCTTAAAAGCCAATTTCCCCCAGCACTGTCTCTGCAGGAGGCAGAGACGTCCCAACTGCTGTGCTTCTCCCTTTGAAATGTACAAGAGCCATGACCCATGGCTCTTGTACATTTCAAAAGGAGAGGCACAGGAGCAGGGACCTAAGCAGTCCCCGTGGGTGACTCGTACATTTCAAAGGGAGAGGCACAGCTAGATAGCAAGTGCCCCCCCAATCGACTAATCCAACAACTACTTGATTAGTTGATTAATTAAAATTTAGCATTCCTATCATCAGGTAGTCAACTAGTCACTTACATCCCTACTTCAAACCAGAGAAGAAAATAAAATACTGAAAAAAGCAAATCATGATAGTACCCAGTCAGCTACAAATATACTTAAAGACAACTGCAGCGGGCAGAGTTATAATTCCACTGAAATTAGAATCATAGAACTGAAAGGGGACCTTGAGAGGTCATCGAGTCCAGTCCCCCACACTCAAGGCAGGACCAAGCACTGTCTAGGTCATCCCCGATAAATGCCTGTCTTAAATATCTCCAGTGATGAAGATTCCACAACCCCCCTAGACAATTTATTCCAGTGTTTAACCACCCTGACAGTTCGGCAATTTTTCCTAATGTCCAACCTACTAAACCTCCCTTGCTGCAGTTTAAGCCCATTGCTTCCTGTCCGATCCTCAAAGGCCAAGGAGAACAATTTTTCTCCCTCCTCCTTGTAACACCCTTTTAGATACTTGAAAACTGCTATCGTGTCCCCTCTTAGTCTTCTCTTTTTCTAACTAAACAAGCTCAATTCTTTCAGTCTTCCATCATAGGTCATGTTTTCTCGACCTTTAAGTCATTTTTGTTGCTCTTCTCTGGACCTTCTCCAATTTCTCCACATCTTTCTTGAAATGTGTTGCCCAGAATTGGACACAATACTCTAATTGAGGCTTAATCAGCGCAGAGTAGAGCAGAAGAATGACTTTTTGTGTCCTGCTCACAACACTCCTGTTAATGCATTCCAGAATCATGTTTGTTTGAATCTACAATCAGACACAGGTATTGTATTAAATAGTTTTCTAAACATTTACTTTTTCAAGGGAAGTACAAATATGATAAATGAATCATTTACATTTTATAAATGTAAAATGAAGGCACCTATAAAAAAGGGACTGAATATGTAAAAATCTTTGCAGTAAATCAGTTAAATCAATGAGACTTTCAGAAAAACATTCTTTTAGCACTCTCAGACTAAATATTACCTTATTCTGAAATTGGAAAAAAGAATGTTATTGGACAGAATATTTGCAAGGTGTCAGACCACAAGTATCACTTATTGCTGCCAACCTATCTTCCTCCACTTAACTTTTCATTCCAGTCTGATTTTAATAGCTGCTTACAAGGAACTGTTAGCACTAGAACCAATGCTTCATATCACCTGAATATTGATTTAAAAAAGTATAAGCATTCATTCTAAGCTCATAAGTTAATAGGAGTACTGCACACTAATATGTTGAAATGGAAGAGATGGAGACTACGCGGGGAAGCATGGCTATTATGATTGTGTTTCTCAATGTTTTTGGTATTTTTGTTCTTTAAGTTCTATGCAGAACTTCAACAATTCCACTGATAATATCTACACCTCTGTTATATTTCCTTCCTCAAAGTCTGAGAGACCATCCAAGTCCAACACTGTAATGGAATATGGTTTCTTCTTCCATATTCAAGAAAAGCTGACACCAATGAAATTGAGTGAAGCATATGTGGACCAAGAAAATAAAAAAGTTGGAAATTGCTTCACTTAACTTCAATGGCCGATTGAAGCTCCTGTTGAATAAAGCAGCAACATATATCCTAAAAGCCTATCACACCTGTTGTGAGGGAACCCAGTCAGAAGTAAATAATTATATATACATACATTTTGCGAAGCTAATGTAGTTCTACAGTATTTGATATACATATCCAAAGAAGTTTAGTGTTAAATGATGGACTTTAAAAATGGTTAACATTTTAATACTTCTCAGGGCTAGAAATATTTGGTAAACCAGTACTAAGCCATATTTTAGAATTGATCCCCGACCAGGGGTTTAAAAAAAAAGGGGGGGGGGGTCATTCCCTTGCATTCTACAATATCAAATGTTATTAGCGTAATACATATTTTTCCACTTACTTCCCCTCATATAACCCAGCAAAATTAATGTTCATCTGTAGAATATTATTTCCCATTTACTAGCTTAAGGCTTTACATCAGGCATAAGAAAAAGCAAATTCCTTATTCCTTCCAAGGTCTCTCCTCCTAATGCCCTTTACAATACTTCTCCAGAAAAAAAAATGGTACTCCTTCACGGTTGAAATACAACTGCAAAACAAAGTTGAATGAGTCTACACTTACTTTCACTCCACTTCTGATAGTTGTAAATAAGACTTTATACTTACGTAACTGCTTTCTTGTTGGGATATCAAATATATTATAAAAATCTTGATTGCACTGTGAGTTAAGTTTTACGTCCTCTATACTGACCAGTTAAACTGTTTTAGCTGGAAACTTTTTAAAATACCTGTTAAGTTACGTGGTTTTCATACAAGTATAATGGAAACCTCAGGAACTGTACAATTAGGCCAAAGAGGGTTGGAAGTTTCTCTCAGAGCTTGAGTGATAGTCAAAGAGGTATACAGGGTAATTTGTAGGAGGTAGAGAAGGGGGATGGACAGGATTTAAAGGGAATTGTTGCACAATCCTAAAAGAAGTGGAGGAAGTACTAGTAGCAACAAATACGTGTATCAAGATGCAAGGGAGAAGGAGACCCAAGGAAGTGTTTTTATGGTGAGGAATATGCCTTTGAATTAAACAATATATTAACAGATGAAGGGGCTTAAAAAATCAGTGTTTTCTTGGCTTTAAAATTACTAAGTGATTTAAAAGCATTATGCTTATGATTGGTTAACATCAACAGCTTTAATAGCAGCTACATTTTTCTAACCTTCCTACCCTGCATGTTAACGCTTGTTACAGCTTTTGCCTCTAAATTGAAATACAAGGACAAGTGGGAATTTCTTGAGTAGATGCCATTGCTAGTCTGTCCTTCAACCATTAAGCAGATGCAAAGCAATGGATACTCATTTCATTCTATCACTTGCCAGAGACCAAGTGATTCTCTACCAAATGTCATGAATACAAAAAAGGTTTCTGGTTTGAGGTCCTTGAGTTTTGATATTTACTTTCAGACAAGTCTTAGCTTTTTACGTAAATATTGTTTAAATATTTTTATTATGTAAAAAGTTAGCACCCAAAGCTTTGTATCCCTAGGGACGAGTTTCCAGGAATCAGCAGCAAAGAGCGTACTGTGCTGCAAAAAATAATTTGAAATATTTCCATGATATTTTATAAATACACGAGTCTTCCATTTTTCTCTTGAAAAAATGGAAACCCTTCACACAACAATATTTTTTGTTAAACTTTCTAAAGTATGCAATATTTCAGTATGCATTGTACTGAAATGAATGCTTATTTCAACTGTAAACAAGGATACAGTAGCAGTAACAATCTACTTTACATTTTGGCAATTTGTTCTTGTTGTTCTTGTTTCTTTTGCCAAAATAGAAAAGTCGGGTCAATAAAATTCAACTGCACAGTGATTATAAAGTACTTCCTTACTACTTCCTAAAAATGCACTGAAAATTTAAAAAGTCCTGCCTCAGTACTGAGTGAAATAGACCTACATTTTCTTCAAGTGTAGCAGGCAGCTAGCATGGCAACATTTTGTACTATGCTCTATATTACAATCACCTGTACAATTGGAACTTTTACTCACTCTTTAAAACAGCTGCGAGATCCAAACATGGCTCGTAAGCAAGAGGATGAGGAAGGATCTCCCCCTTTAACCTGCCATTTCTGCAGAGGGAGATTTTTAAATAAAAAGTTACATTGTTCTTTTTCCCCTCAAAAACTGAAATGCCAGTATGTCTGCCAAATTGCCAAGAATCCTGCCAAAGGTAGATAATAGTCTATTCCTATACATATTCCATCAATTTCCACAACATTAAAAATAAATAAAGACAGAATGTAAAGAATCTGTGCTAAAGAAATGTCTTAACTTAAATCCTGCATTTCTCAATATTTGATATGTGCACAATAGAATTATCAGAAGGCTTCAACAACCAGATGATCAAGAGAAATACAATTTTTTAAGACTACCATAGACAAGAAAGGACTGCCAAGAAACAGCCTCACATTTGGAGCACACAGCAAATTGTACGTATAGAGAATTGTACAAATGATTTTGGAAGCAATTGTTGACTAAGGTGAATTCACAGCAGACTTTCTGACTAGGTTCTTGTTTCATTTCAGTTTGCTTTTTTTTTTTTTTTTTTCTTATGAGGTTTAACAAATAATTTGCTAAGAATTCTGTATAGTTGCACTATTATGCAAGAACATTATCCAAGAGGACATGAAAGGATAAAATATATCCAATCGCAAACTTATGTAAACAATACTTCAATTTTTTTTCTCAATATCTAAGATGCTTAAATGGGTGATTGGTTTGTCACAGAATATCACTGCAATCTGAGACAGCTTCAAGAGACTGGCTCAATATGTACAGATTAAAATTCATTTCAGACCTTGTATAACTAAGGGCATGCTCTAAGTCAAAGGAGTGGCATCAATTTCAGCCAAGCCTGAATATAGAGTTTCAGTAAATTTCTTTCCATGCATTTCAAAATTTACCTTTTAAAAATAAAACTATATATACCAAAACATCTAAACTTTTAAAGCTATTCCAAAGAACTGTGAAGTTGCTAGTGTATTAATATTACACATTCTGAGTATCAAGTGACTATGATGGCTCAGTCTTACCTGTAATGTTCATACCAGTTCTATTAATGAAACTAGTTTCCCTTTCAACGGCCTAGACTATTAGATGTTAAGTTACCAGCAGTCAGAAAAGAAAAATATTCTCAAGGACTGATGCTCAATTTTAGAATTTTGTAGTACTGCTTCCATTCAGTTAAATATTAAACAACATGGTGGGTAATTATTTCATGTGACTATGGAAGTAGATAGTTGTTTCACATTCATTCAATGTAGATATAGTTCTTTTAGGGGATGTATTGCCTAGACCCTTAGAAACTGCCTTAGACTAAAAAAAACAAATAATTTCAGATGCTGAACAGAAACATATAATTATCTCAAATGACGATCAACATTTACCTTCTCAGCAATACTATATAAAACTTCATCCATTTTCATACAAGTTGGATCCCAGTCATGTCCAAACCGGATGACCACCACACGGTCTTCTTCTGAAAGAATGGCCTGGTCTACTTGCCAGCCATTGTGTAAGTGAGGAAGCATATACGACATCTTTAAACTTTATGTAACACCTGGAAAAGGACAGAAACCATCTAAGAACTTACAATTCTACTTCCTGATATCTACTTAACTTTAATTATAAACACTTGTCAATTAATTCTATTTAAACTGATGTACATATACCCAGACCTAACTTATTCCTTTTAAAACACCCCCCCCAAATATTATTGATAGTGAAATACTTCTGATAAAGACTACCCAATTTTCCTAATCCTGTGTCTATACTGTGCTTTTTCTTAGTATTTCCCACCATTGCAGCTTCATCACCAGTATTTTCTAGTATAGAATGACAGTGAGCATTTTTACTATTGTGTGACCTCCTAGCCTGTGTCAGAACAGCCCTCAATGACATGTTAATTATTTACACTGTGACCTCTCTACACAAGTGCTACCACTGGCATTAAAGTAGTGGTGGGAGATGTTTAAGGAAATGCTCAGTATGGATCAGGACCAAGGTTCACATGACAACCATCAGCCAGTCCAGAAAGATCTCCTGTCCAGGAATGGGAAGAACGGAGAGAAACTCTTTCAGCCCTCATGATCTCCATTCCCTTATTTTCAGTCTTTTACCAATAGGCCCAGCAATATCAGCAGTCAAGTCAGATGTACTGTACCACATTCAGAGATCTAACAAATTTTCTCCGAAATTCACCATTTTTAAATGAGTTGTTACTACCAGGGGTGCTGGAACGATTTGCATAGTGGGGCTGCCAAGAACCATTGAATCAAACTGTAAAACATGTGCATAATGGAAACCACGGCAAGCCAAGGGGTATGGAAGCAGCCCTAGCACTGCTAGTTCCAGGACCGAAGATTACTATAAACCCCTGCATGGTGGGGATTAGGGATGTTAAAATGTGGTTAACTGACTAGTTGAGTAAGTCAATGAAATTTCCACCGATTACTCGACAGGCACTTCCGCATTCATCCTTCAAACTGTACAAGAGACCCTGCTGGGGCTCTTGTACATTTCAAAGGAGGAACATGGAACTCCACAGGTGCCTTAGGTCTAGATGCACTAGTTCGAATTAGCTTAGTTCGAATTAACTGGTTCGAATTAGTGCTGTAGTGTAGACATACCCTCAGAGTCCCCCGCTACCCCGGGGCTCCATGCTGTGCTGCATGCCACTTGGAGTCCGGGGTCAGCTCCGCTGCTTCACTGCTGACCCCAGTTCCGCACAGCATTTCAGTGGAACCCAGGATCAACTGGGGCCTCCCCAGCTGACCCCAGGCTCCGTGGCTCCCCCTTTGAAACATGGAGGCAGCAGAGTCCCCAGCTGACTTTGGGCATGTTGAAAGGGCAGCGCTGCACAGCTGAGCTGTGAATCAGCTGTACTGGGGCTGCAGGCAGTACCGCACAGCTGATCCCTGGCTCAGCTGTGCGGAGCTGTGGCTTTGAAATACCCCTTCCCCCCCTTTGCTGCCTCTATCTTATGGAGGCAGTACAGGGGAGGGGAGGAATCAACTAGTTGACTAGTCCTCAACACCCTTAGCGGGGGATGGTGCGATGTTGGTGTTGCCACCAGTGAGGGCAAAGTGGTGCAAATGGGGCCAATGACATGGGGCCATTAAAATTCATAAAAAAACATAACAGCCCCTCCCCCGGCACACCCCCTTATGGCCCCTTCCATGGCACCGCCTGTAGCCCCTCCCCCACACCTTCCCCAGCATCCCTCCCACCTCCATGGCCACCC